ATGCGCAAGTATTGCTATTACTGTGATATGCTAATAATTGTAATTATGCTTTAAAAAGTATGAAACTGTTTCTATTTATTTTAAAGTGAGGTTCGTGACAAAAATTTTTTTGACTAAAATGCTGTAATGATAGACTCACTGGTCATTTGAGGTGTCGCCAATCAAAACGTTCCATAGAGTTAAAAAAATTGATAAAGAAAAATTAATTGTACAGTAGCATAGAGTGTCATTGATTAATTGTCTATTTTGGTGTCCGATATAGTTTATTATACTGAGTAATTGTTACAAATAACAATTAATGCCGAGTAGCTATTGTTTAACCTCACTATGATACGTTTTGATTGGCGATATCTCATTTTTCTCTATTTAAGATTTCTTCTTTGACGCATTAAATTACGTGTCCTGTACTTTATTCATCTTAATGATATGCACGTTTAATCAGTTAAAAATATTTTCCTCTAGTTAAAATTTAATTCACGACACATTTCTGACACGTGTTTACTTATTGATTAAGACGCTTGAGTGGCAATTGATTTTAAAATGATAAACATCTGAACTACGGACAGATGAAGATTATTCGTCATGATCTACGCACGTACATACGTAATATTAGATGATCGATAACCTGTATTACTTGGTTACAATTTCATTAATATTAATATATCGATATCATCCTTGTGTGAATTTTGGTTATATATATAATAAATTCTTACTTATCGAACTTAACATTTGAATTCTTCACTTTAGTCGCAATCATACTTCACTATATTTCTTTATAAATAACTTTAAATTATTTTCGTAATTTAATTTACATTATGGTTCACGAATATCTGCGATAAGGTTCGGAAATCCTTTATGATGTTTACATATTCCATCATTGCATTCAAATCCACCGGGATGCATTTGTGAAATTGTTGGACATAAACCATCAGTCTCGTACCAATTCAACGATTCTGTTTCTAGATCTATAGGAAATAATTTGGTGTTGGACGGAAACTTAAATCTACCCATTTCGCAAGAAAGAATGTAAAGTGGAAGTGGAATCGTAAGCGAAAATTGTGGTCGATGAAATTTTGTACGTGGATCTTGGTGCGTCTATTAAAATAATAATTATTATATACATGGCATTTGATACATAGATGTTTATTTAAATGTCAACAACGTCATTACT